GTGTCCAAAGAATCTACCCTCTCCAGATCCAGCCCCAGTGGTGGTGTCCATCCTGAGGACCACCAATGCCATTGCTTGGGCCATGCATTCTCAATCCAAGAAGATCCATTAACATTACAGCTTATGTGACTGTCTTGTCTCAGTATGGGGAAGAAGTGCCATGGCCCATCAGCTATGTGCAGCACTTATGGAGCTGGCATGTTAGGCTTCCATGTGACATCTTGCTATTTGTACATAATTCCCTCTAATCTTTACCACATAAAATGTGATAGATCATGAAGATATTAATCAATAAAATCTAATGTGTAAAAAACAGCTATATTAAGAACAATAATTATTTTAATTTTGATAACAGGTAAGTTGAAGAAAGGAATTGTTTAAAATATATATAAACCTACAAAATAGGTATTTCTGAATAGAAAATGTTTTAGGTTAATTTATGATGTCATTTAAAAATGGCTACCTCACATCGTTTTCCCTTTTGGGATAGCAGCATGCTTATTTAAAAATTTAACAGCTACTAAAAGCTGAAAATGAATTTCAAACAATACCATTGTCAGTATCTCTATTAGTTGACCTAACTTGTGCTTTGAAAAGCAGTGGAAGAAAAGTAAAACATCTCACATGGACAGTGATGTCCTCCAAATGCTTAGAAACTTGAGATAAATGATTGTCATAAAACGTTTACAATTGTTTCTATCTCTGTTTGCACACAGCTTTACAATGTGACTTTGTGTTCTTGCCATCCAGAGATAACCTGTCCCCCAGCCCTGGAGTCTGGTCTGATTTTGTGACTTGGCTTGGCCAACAGAGCACAGTAACAGCTATGGTGTGCCAAATCTGAGTCTCTTACATACCACCATGCGAATACCACCCAGCCAGCCTGCGGAGGGATGTGGATCAGTGTTAAGCCAGCCCAATTGGAGCCATCTTGGACCAGCTTGCTTCCCACTGACCCAGCGCTGCCCACAGGACCCTCCACTGAGCCCAGACCAAACTGCTGATTCCCAGGAAAATGCACAAAACAGTGATTGTTTTCAGATGTAATAATTTGAGAGTGTTTCTCAAGTATCAAAATCTAACCATCTCAATACATAAGAAGGAAAACCACCTTGTCATCTGTTGCTTAGCTCTACAAGTCTTTTTACAGAAGACTCCCTAGTACAAGTGTTCTTGCCTCAACTCATTTTACAGTCCTACTTGTAGAATTTTCTCTATCCTTTCTTTCCCTGTGGACAGATTTCTTCCCAGCCTAAGAGGCACAAAGAATTCTACTCCTGAGCTGAGAGACATTATCTTCACATGACTTCCTAGAAAAGAAAATTGGCTTGGAAATTAATTTTTCAGATTTATTTATAAGCCATTTCAAATTGATAACCTGTGATAAACCTTCCTTGGTAAAGAATTATATATGGTTTTGTGAGATCATCCAAGTCCAAGGAATAAAATCTGTTTGAGGAAACCACATTTGTCTTCCAGTGCAGCAGGACAAAGCTGTGCAATGGCTTCAACATTGAAATTTGAGGTCTATGACATTTGATAAACATTAAGTTATGAAATCATGAAGCTGAAATGCACCGAGATTTCTAGTAGGATTCTTGAGATTCCTAAGAAACAATCACAGTTATAACCATGATCACAAACCTGGTGTTTGCATAGCTCTTAGTCTCTGGGAATCTACATGGAAGAATGAGCATCCTGAAGATAGTACCTATGGAGGGCACCCTGCTGTCTGAGGACAAACTTATAAATGACCTCAAAAACAAACCAACAAAAATATCTATAATCCATGTAAATTTTCAGTGTTAAACACCTATAAATAAGGAATTTATACATGTGCGCATTACTAGAGATTGAACCCAGGACTTCACACTGAGTTACATCTTCAATCTCTTTTTTATTTATTATTTTGGAGACAGGATTTCACCAAGTCACTAAGTTACTCAGGCTAAGCTCAAAATGTGATCCTCCTGCCTCAGCTTCCCAACAGTGCTGGGATTACAGGTGTGCACCACCTCACTCAGCTAGTAATAAAGAATTCAAGTCGGGATTGTCACCACTAACCTCATTTCTACATCTGATTCCCTTTTATATTAGACTTCCAATAATCATGCCAAACTTTGTTACCACAATTGCTATGCCCACTTCTCTGACTAGGGCATGAGAGGCTTTTCTCCTTACTCTGAAAGAAGAGTTGAATTCCATGAAGCAGCTTCTGAGAGCAGCCCACACATATCCACACCCTAAAACACTTTCTATATTACCAGATCTTCATGAAACTCAGAGGATTCATGATGGAGCTAAACAACACAGAACATTTTAAGCTTTAGCCACTGAAACAAAATAGCACAGGGCAGAGGATATTCTAAAGTGAAGATTCAGATAACCTGAAGCACATGCAAAGCTGTGTCCAGTAAGGCGTAGCTAAAGAACCTGGCAATGGCCCAGACACATAAAAATATAATTTAACAAGTTCAGAGTGGCCAGGGATGTATGTGCTGGAACCAGTTCCTACCAGCTCAAAAGAGCAGACAGAAATGTTCAGGGATTTTGCAGAAACTAGAAAGAACACTAAAGACTGTTTAGAAGAGATTTTAAAAGAAAATTCTAAAACTTCATGACAAGTTTAAAACTTAAAATGAAAAAATCCTTGGAAAAATGCAACAAATTTGAGAAGACATAAAAAGTCTGAGTAGTCCAATAATTTAAAAAGTTGAATGAATATTTAAATCTACTGGCACACCACACACACACACAACCAGGACTTTTTCCCCACACAATTTAGTAAGCTAATTCTAAAATCTTTTATAAAGGTATAAATTAGGTCAGATACTCTTATAAGAAATATGTTAGTGGTATTTTATTAATGTTTACTTTTAAGTACTAGTAATTAAAACAATGTAGCCTTGGTGTCGTGTAGAATAAAGGGATAAACAATTACTTTTATAAATTAGGGGCAAAAAGAGGGTCTGTGTAATAAATGGTTCTGGAAGAATTATTGACCCATGTGGATAAAAACCAATATGCCCTTAAATAAAAACAAATTCAGCCCCTGACTGACACCATACATAAATATCAGTACCAAGCAGATCAAAGACTAAAATTTACAGGGAAAAATATAAAATGTTTAGAAAAAAACATAAGAAAGTATTTTCAGGGCCTCAAGATAAAAATGATAAGAGAATTAAAGCATAAATTTAATCTAAAATAGAACATTATATGGTAATGAAAATTAATTATAGCTATACCTAAGAACATGGCTGATTCTTAGAAATGTCAAGTTATTGTAAAACGGCAAGTAGCAAAAGATTACTTGAAGTATGATAAAAAATTTTAAATGAAAGAAATGATAAACATGAAATTCATGTTAATGGTCACTTTGAACATAGAAACATAAGAGGATTTAAGGGAGGATCTTCTAAATAAATGCAACAAATTGGTTATATCCTTTTTCTTTAGCCCACAGCTATATATTATGGTGTTTAATAAATTACATTTATGTTACATATATTATCTATAAGTTGTGAATATGACACAACTTTTAGAATCAAAATCTTAAATTTAAAATGACCTCAGCTCATATAAAGAACAATTTATTTATAACTGGAAGTCTTCAAAATCTAAGTGGGCATTTGTTGAACAGAATAATGGGTGGGAAGTTCAATAAGTAATGAGTTTCACTGGAATTATTCAAGAACAAGCAACAAATCTCTCTTACATTAATAGGAATATTTTAAAGTGAATTAAACATTTAGGCATCTGTTGGATTAAGTCTTTTCTGTATCTGAAAGACTATGATTTCTGGATCAATTTTTGAGTGAACTAATTTAACTGTTGATGTTAGCTAAAACTGTTAACGATATGGAGTTCACATTGATACTGCCCTTATCTTCCAATCTCAGAGTTAGAACATATCAGTTGCTCCCAGAAAAAGCTAGGAAGCAGCTTTAGCCCCCAAATGACTTGCTTCACTTTTTCTCCTAATTTAATTTATTTATTTCACACCATTCTTTGGTGAGGCAGAGGACAGAAAAGGAGGGATGGGATAGATATATATTATAGTGTTTTCATAAGGCTCGATTTTATGCCAAAAATGATCTGAAACTGGTATTGAAATGAATTTTAGCAAGTAATAAGTTCTAGGTATGATCTTAGAGAATTTTATGCCTTTTAATCTTCATAGATTCTGGAGTTGAAAGTAGAAAGCCCTTGACTAAAAAAAGTTACCAGCATTCCTCAGATCCCTTGCCTGGGATGCCAAGGGTCAGGGCTGTCACCTACAGGAAGCATTTAAAAGTAAGTTAAAAGTGTAGATTTAATAAATTTTCTTGTGTCAGCAGCCAAAAGGCAATCTTCAGACCCTAGAAATGAGAGAAGCCAGAAAGTTATATGCATGAAGAGGGGACATGATGGCATTTATCGAAAGAAATGTAGCCCCATCCTTATATGAATGTGGTAGGTCGACCATCTCCATGATAAGCCCATCAGAGGCATCTCTTGCCTGCCTTGGGCTTGCCAACCCACCTGCCTGTGTTTGAATACTTTCATTTTTTGGTTGATTACAGTGTGAAAGAGGATCAGCGACTATAATCCAGGTAGTCTGATTTTACCTGGGTTCGGCAGGAGGAAGAAGGTGGTACTGAGCCTGAAGAAGTTCCCTTTCTCTGTTGTCAGGATCCCTCTTAGTGATACCTGCTAGGATGGTTGTGCCTTTCTGGGAGGAAATTCAATCACATCACTCTGTTGACAGCAGAATGGGGGTCAGTGGAACAAGTGTGCTGAGAGCAAACACAAACTATTCCAAACAAGCATCCAGGGTCTATCTGCTGTCTTTCTTGAGTCAGGGTGTAAGAAACCCAATTTGGAAGAGCAAGGGAATAGCTTATGTTGCCCCCCAAATTGCTGCTAGCACACAGGAATTTTATTGGTCTGCAGATGACAAAGACCAAGGCATCCCTTGGTGGTCACATGACCTTACCAGTTCTCCAAACAGCCTCTTCTCCTAGGGGCACTGTGTAGAGCCTCTGGAGTCAGAGACTTTTCACTGTCAGTGCAGGAGGGAAGCAGGTGGATGGATAAGGAGCATGGCCTTGCTCCTGCTGTCTCTGCTGGCATTCCTGAGCTGGAGCTCTGGATGTCATCATCGGCTCTGCCACTGCTCTAACCGGGTCTTCCTCTGCCAGGACAGCAAGGTGACAGAGATTCCCTCTGACCTCCCTCGGAATGCAATTGAGCTGTGAGTATCAGAGCGGGACAGCTGTGTGGCTGGCATTTGTGCACTGAGCACTTGTGTTATTTTCACATGCGGCTGATATCTATGGGGCTGAAAGAGTCCTGCCTGGACAACCTCCGCCAACCCCACACTCTTCCCTGCCGCTTCCCAGGGATCTGAGGTGCAAGTTTAAACCAGTATTTCTTAGGGAAGGCCAGTGGGGAAACTCAGATCCAAAGGCAAAGGGAAAAGTTGTCTTTTGGACACTTTTGCTCCAGGGTTCTGCACTGTCTTTAGTGGAGCTAGGAAAGCAAAAGTGAAAGCAAAGTAGAAAACTTGGGAGACCTCCATTTGGAGCAGAAAGACGGGCTGATGTAAGTGGAATACACAAGGTCTATCTCCTGAGGACACCAAAGTCAAGAATGGCAGAGTCTCTGTGTCTTTGAAGGCAGGAGCAATTAGTTCTTGAGCTGAGATTTTGCTTCCTGGGGGGGAAAGGGGAAGGACTATGAAGAAGGTAAGAAAAAAAAAGAAGGAAGCAGAGAGGGAGGGAGAAAGGTAAGATTGTCTCTTCTACAACTTTAGATTTTTACTGAACTGTTTTAGCAGGAAGTAAGCAGTTTTCTGTAGCTAGGCAAGAGCATAGACATCATTTCACGCTATCTTTTCATTCTGCAAATTAGGGATCTGGATCTAATGTGTGAAAAGAGAGTTGTGCAGGGTCTTACAGTGAGTTGAAGCAGAGCCCAAACTGGTAATCAAGCCTTTGGTCTCAGCCAGTCTTTCCCTGAGCCTTGTGTGGGATGGAGAAGAACACAGAGAGGCAGGGCTGTGGCCTGTGCAGAGACTACTTTCTCTGTGAACTGCAAGTGCAGCCTCCAATGCTTTCGTTCCAAGGATTTCTGATGGAATCCCTATTTTGGATGGAAGCCTGTTTCAGCATTTGGCCCCTAAAGTTATTGATTACTTTTATTTTGGTGCAGAAGGAAATATCTTTTTCAGTTCACAGATTGCCATACTGACACCCAAACATGTTGATGGTGCACCTCAGATTTGTGCTCAGGAACAAACACAAAGTGTTTGCTTGTCACTTTCCCCTTCACATCCCATCTTCAGTGCCTATCCAGCGGCAGCGGCAGAGGCAGGGGAAATGCCTGGCAGCCTCTGTGTTTTGGCTACCCTCCCTCTCATGAAACAGTTCTTCCTGATTATGCTGAAAATGCGCCTGTGCAGAGCACTATCTAGTGTGCTAGGTCATTCTAAACACTGGAGGAGGCCAACAGACCTGAGTTCCTGCAAGAAGTCACTTACTCCCAATTGACTTCTTACTGACTATGGAACCCCCCTGAGCCACAGGTGCCACACTTCTAAAGTGATTCTCATACCACCTGCTTGGTTAGAATATTGTGACCACTAAAAGATCTAGATTCCCCTCCTCCCTTACACCAACTTTCTCCTCTCCTGGACCTCTTCTACTTCCTCCAGTGTTTCCCCATAGGCCCAGCAATGCTATTCAGTTGTTAAAGCAGAGAGCCTTTAATGAGATTTAATTTTAGGATGAATCTCTTCTACCTGTAAAATTCCTTTCCATGGGCCAGGGATTGAGCTCAATGGTTCCCCAGCCTGCCTGGCAAGCACAAGGACCCGAGTTCAATCCCTGGTACCAAAAAAAAGAAAAATTCCCTTCCACACTAACCTATCTGCTGTCTGAAATCTCTCTACCACAAAAGGTTTTTTATTCTAAAAAAAAAAAAAAAGAAAAAGAAAAGAAAGGGAGGACAGATAGAAGGAAGAAGGAAAGGAAAAAAAGGAGGGAGGAAGGGAGGGAGGGAAGAAAAAAGGGAAGGAGGGAAGGGAAAGATCCACTCCAATAACTCAAAGTCACAGGCCCCATATGTGTATGAATGACTGTAGAATGAGCAAATATCCAATTTTTTAATAATACTAATACATAAATGATTAAAATCCACCTCTATCCAAAAGCATTTTGCACCTAAGAAAAGAAAACATGAGACACTGATATTTTATGGAAAGCAATCGTGGGAGATGGCAAGTTAGACAGAAACAAATTTCACACTCTTGACAAAGCCTGGTTCTAAATATACCCAGTAGAGGACAAAGCTGCATATAACCAGGAAAGAGGAAGAAAGTGTTTGCCGGTTATTGGCCATTTCCTCTACGTGAGAAATGGAGCTCTGGGGACTGAAGTCCTCCTGTACAGCTACCAGGAAGATGCCCTCCTCTGCACACTCCTTAGTAAGGCTCAAGTTGGGCTGCCCTAAACCTTACCTTGGCAGTCTTTTTGTCAAGATCTTATGAGCTGAGCGAAAGAAGAGCAGAGTTTCCTTGGCTGTTAGATAAAATAGAAAAATTATTTCAGGATTGTTTTTAGTGTGTTAATCACTGAAAAGCAGATAAAATGTCCAGTGAACTGGCACCCTGACATTCTTGTTTGTATGAAAGACCAATTGCTTTATTTTTCTTGCTTAAAAGGATTGAATCAGGGCACATTGATAGAAGAGAGATGAAATGGCCTATTCAACCAAGTATTTCTAATTCCCCTTGCAGTCTTCCAAGTTTGGGTAATGACTTCAGTGGTGACATCAGTTGTAGGTAAATGGAATAGCTGGGCTTCCCAACTGCAATTGCTGAATCCATCAACATAAAGACACTTTTTTGTTACTCAGGCTCACCTGGAAGAAAACAACCCCAACATCTCACCATGCACATTTCTATCCTATTGTTCTGTCTACCTTGCAGCAAATTCATTTTATTTCATGTATCTGCTGGCTATAACCAAAGATAGCCTATACTGTATGATATGCACATGCTGATAGAAACACCGAAAGAACACAGATGAACCACCAACAGACAGATAGATTCCATTTGCCACTTAGCTCCAACTGTTTGCTTTATTTTTTCTGCATACTGCTTCATTAAAATGTCACACTAGATCTCTGAGTTTAGTATTATTGCTCTGTTTTTCAAATTAGACAAGTCATGGACAACTTGAATAACTTGGGCAGTCATCCCTGCAGCTCCTGGACAGCAGAGCTGAGAAACAAATGAGAATCTATTTGTGTCACTTTTGCATGGGTACAATGTGTGTCTTTTGACTCCTTTCTTTTCTTCTGAGGAAATAAAACATGTTCTGGCATGTTTGGTCCAGAAGTCAGACTTATAGGTCAAACAGTGTCTTTTGCAACCACTTGGCTCAACTGTAGTAGCATGAAAGAAGCCATAGACGCCACGTAGATGAATGAGCATGAATGTGCTCATTGCAGCATGATGCTAATAGCTTACCTAGGGTTTAGACAGCCTGAGGCAACCTGGAATCTAGTTTAGAGAGACCCTAAACTAGGTCAATAAGATCAGCAGTTGGGGAAATTTGGATGTAGTGTTCCCACTTCATCTTCTAGCTGCAAAAGCATTTTGCACCTTCTGAGAAGCCATAGATCATACAGTGTCTAGAATCAGAGAAATACTAGTTCAGACCCAGGTGTTGCCATTACACATTTGCTCTATTATCTGGGCTCTTGGCTGTGTAAGGTAAATCATAATGTGTGTCTACTCACACAGAATTGCTGTGGCTGATGTAGGTAAAAATCTTAGTACCATGTCTCCCATGTTGTCATTGTTGTTATCGCTGGTGAGGATGACAATGATGGTTTGTGGTGGTAATGATGGTGTCCTCGTCTATGTAATACTAACTAGGCAAAACCCACTTTCCACAGAGGACCAAATGAGTCAACAAATATGAGAATTATTTGGAAAAATTGATAGGAAGATTTTTATTACTCTGAGATAGTTTGCAACCTCCCTCTTGTTTAAGAATAATCTTTGCTCCTCCATGCTTAACCTCCATGCACCTACTGTCTGAGTAAGGAAATATTTTTCCTAAGGCTGTTGCCATTTGCCACAAACTCAAGGGGTAGGTTTGTTCTGACCATCATAAAAGGAATTCTGATTTCTGACTTATACCAGAAACTGCTTCCATGTCAGGCAATCAGTGAGTCAAAGAAGGTTCTTTTGATCTTGCTTTCTTCTTCCTAGAGTTATAATTCCTAAAGATAATCCATACATACAGTCTTAACCTGAAAATTTAAATCTAAGACATATGAATACAGCCATCTTTTTCTTCACCAAGGTCAGATACTAAAGGAAAGAAGGTTCCATGGATGCTATTTCTTGGCTTAGGGTGCCCAGTACTGGGTTTGTGATGTGGACTACCTGTGTTGAATCCTTTGCTCTCAGCAAGCTTCCATGTCCCCTTGCAATCTCATTTGGCTTGCACATACTTCAAGTTATCCAATTGTCTTTAACCCTTTTTTATCTTCTTTCTTTGCCTTATATTCTTTGTCTTGTTGTCATGGTTTAGATCATTTTCCATATTTCATGACCATAGATCATGATTTACTTAGGAGCTTGAAAGCATTCCTAGTTTAGTCTTTTCTTAGTAGGCATTTAGTTCTGAGGGATGTATCAGTGCTCTGTGCTAAAAGGGAAGCCAGTAAATTGTATGATTTCCAGGTGAAACAGGGTTTTTGATGTTTGCAGATTCCTTGATTGTACTTAATTGTGCAATCTTTTTCCTAAAAGCATCTTTAGATATTAATATTCCGCAGAACACACTTTAGGAAAGGCTGATCTATCCAACTTCAGCTACCAGAAAGAATCTCTTCTACTATCTGAACAACAGCCAGATCTTCTGACCCCCAGTTCATTACTTGATAACAGCTAGAAATACACCCTTATGTCGATTTATATGGTTTTGTGCCTTAGAAGTAGCTATGTAAAAATGTGGCATATTCTCATAAAGAAAGTGATTCTATGAATAAAGAAAATGGGTATATATACACGGTGGAGTATTATTCAACCATAAAGAACAAATTCATGCCTTTGCAGGAAAATGGATCGAAGTAGAAGTCATCATATTAAACAAATAAGTCAGAGTCAGAAAGGCAAGTATCGAATTTTTCTCTCATATGTGGAATATACAAAGAAAAAGATAACATGAGAGTAGA